CCTATTTTTTTTTTTTTTTTTTTTTTTTTTTTTTAGTGCTATAGGGTATATGTACTCCCCAGAGAGAGAGAGTGAGAAATCACCCCCTAGAGGGATGGCCATGCCACAGTCCCTTTTCCTCCATTCTTCTTTTAGGATTTTGGGCACACATGGATACATGCCTGGTGTGAGTTCAAATCATTGTCAGCCATGTGGGGATCCAGCACCTTAACCACCACACCACCTGCTGGCCCCACTAAATTTTTGATTTAGGATATTTTTAGTTTACAATGGGTTTATCAGGATGTAACCCTGTCGTAAGTCAAGGCACATCTGTCTGTTTTTACTGTTTTTATTAAAAATGAAATTAAAAAACATATCTGAGGGTTTGTTGCTTGCAAGTGCAGCTTTTGCTAATGAGATGTCCTCATATCCACAGTGTGTGACCCAGTCATGGGTGACAAGAGGAATGGCGAGGGCTCCATGGTGAGTAATTGTACGTCATTTAAAGGTGTGATGAGTGGAACTCTTTCTGTTAAACCAAAAGAGAGGATGACAGGGGCCAGCAGGTGGTGTAGTGGTTAAGGTGCTCAACTCCCACATGGCTGACTGCAGTTCAAGTCCCAGACCTGGTGGCTTGAAAATCACACTGGCTGCATGTGCGTGCATGCCCAAGATCTCAGGAGGAGGATGGAGGAGAAAAGATTGCGGCGTGGCCATCCTCCCAAGGGGTGGCTTCTCATTTTCCTTCTCTCTGTGTCTTTCTCTCTCTGGCTAGTGCACATGCCCTATGTCAAAAAGCCTAAAAAAAAAGACAGGACCACCTCTCTGAGCGTCTCACGTGGCAACAGCACTGTCTCGGGTGAAGATAGAATCCTTGTTAGGAAGATTGTTTGGCCAGGATTTTTGTAAATAGCCAGGTATTTAGGCTTTGTAGGCCGTGTGTCCCGGTCACTACTACTCGTGTCATAGCACAGAAGTATACATGGGCGAATAGACATGACTTGGCTATTTTCTAATAGTTTATTCGTGGGCACTGAAATGAGAATTTCCTTCTTTTCAATTACCAGAGGGCATGTGTGCCCAATAGAGAGAGGAAGAGAGGGAGGAAGCCGCCTCTGGGGGGCGCGGGCACACATATTCGTGAAGTGCTTTTCAACTCCTGGGGCCAGGACTAAAGATAAGCAGTCAGCCGTGTGGGATCTGGCTTCCTTACGTACTAGGCCATGAAGCCAGTCCTCTCATAATTTTTGTGTGTCACAAATGTTCTTTTTTCTTTCCACATTTATTTCATAATCATTTAAACAAGTAAAAACAAAATCATTCTTAGTTCACAAGCTGTGCAGAAACAAGCAGCAAGCCTTCGCTTAGCTATCCTGGGGTAACGTGGACCAGGTAGAAACTTACTGGTGCAGGGACCAGCAGATGGCATAGCAATTATGTTGCTGGACTCCCACATGGCTGACTGCGGTTTGATGCCTACTGCCAGTGGCTTGAAACTCACGCTGGGCACATGTGCATGAGCGCCTAAGATCCCGGGAGGAGGATGACGAAGAAGGGGTTTCAGCATGGCCATCCCCCCAGGGGGTGATTTCTCCCTCTCACTGTGTCTCTCTCTTTCAGGAAAGGACACGTGCCCTAAGACAAAATACCTTTCAAAAAGAAAAAAGAAAGAAATTTACTGGTGCAAACCATGCTGGTCTTTCATAGAGCTAGAATTCTAGAAATGGAAGGAACTTAAAGGCTTTCCTTCCTGCAGCTTCAAACTCAGCAAGTTACTGCCCAAATGATTTTATTTTTTATTGATTTATCTTTTAGAGTTATTTATTTATTTATTTATTATTTTAATTTGCTACAGGGCACACATACTTACCAAAGAGAAAGAAAGTGAGAAAGTAAACCACCAGGTTTAGGACTCGAACCACGGTTGGCCATATGGGAGTTCAGCACCTTAACCACCAGGCCCCCTGCTGGCCTGCCCCCAGTATGATTTTAGAATACAACTTTGCCGTTGTTGGTCAATTCTCTGCACTGATGCCCTTCCCTGCAGGGAGTAAAACTGACCCAGAGGATCCTGAAGAACCAAGGCCACTGTCCAGTTCAGCATGGCCATGGGGTCTGCCCTTTTTATATTAATCTAGTTTATTTCTCTCTGTGAGTCCAGTCTGCCCAAGCACAAGTTTATGTCCTCAGCTCAGACGAGCAATGAATTGATTGCTCTCATTGAGAGCCCGGGCTACTCATCTCCCACCCGCTTGGACATGTGGCAAATTACCTCAGACTTCTCCTGAAGGTTCAAAGGAGTGTGCTGGGCTCTCCAGCAAAGGCTCTAGAGAGCCTTCTTCAATTTCCTGTCACATGTGACAGGAGGGGCTTCCAGGTGCCCTCCATCCTTGGTACCCTCTGAACTGTGTCTGGCCTGTGGCCACCTCTTCTGCCCTGAGTACCCGGTGCAGAGGAGCATCTGCGTGGGACCTCTGGCCTCCAAGGAGCAGGTTGAGAGGAAGGAATTTGAAACTTGGCTGTTCAGCTGTTGACTAGTGACATACCCACAAAGCAAACACAGTTCTTTCAGATCCTCATGGTGGACTTTGGCTTCAGGATCCTCTTTAAAGAAATCTGATTTCTCACCTTCTGTCTCTCTGTCTCTCCAGCCAGCGCACATGCCCTATAGTAAAAATCTCTCAAAATAAAAAAAATAATAATAATAATCCGACAGCTGATTTCTGACAGCGGACTGTCGTGCTGTGGTGTTGGGCAACTCGAGCAGAACACGAGGTCACAAGCATGTAAACTCATCTCACATGAATGCAGAACAGAGCCCAAGTCAGGCTCCCAGGACAGGTGTGCCCAGCCCCACCAGTGCCCCCACCCTCCCAGGGTGACCCAGGCCACCCTTTCAGCCCACCCTCAGGCTTTCCTGCCTCTCCTCCCCTCTTTTCTCCCTTCATTGTGCTCTGGTCTTATAGAACAGGGACTCAGAACCTCACCTCATCTCAACCCAGACCCTCTGCCTGGGAAGTTGCCCAACAAGACCTTTCCCTGTCTCCCTATTCAACCGGAGCCCTCCTTTTGTCCCCCTCCAAGGCCCTTTGGTTTCCCAGGTCCAATTTGCCCTGACCACATGCCACCCATATCATCTCCACAGCCAGAGTGCCCAGGTTGGATGGTGGGCCCTGGCCCTAGGCCTGGACTCCAAAGGCTTTTTCTTTCCTTCCATGTGAGAGACAGAGAGACATCTCCCCTAACAGGATCTCCACGCCATGATTCACCCCCAGTCTCAGCCAGCCTGATCACAGGCATGTGCACATGTGCCCAGTGTACACAGGGAGGTCCTAGGACACGAATCCAGGACCTTTCCCGTGTGGGTCCGGCTGTGCTACCACTGCACCACTGCCTGGGCTTGTGGAGGGCTTGCAGCGAGCACTCTCTGGAGTCCTCCCCTTCCTGCATGAGTCAGCCTCTGTTCCTGTCCCCTTTGTTCCTCAGTACGTTCCAGAGGATCTCCTTCCAGTTTACAAAGAAAAAGTGGTGCCGGTTGCTGACATCATAACTCCCAACCAGTTTGAGGCTGAGTAAGTAATTTAAAGCAGCTAACACGGTCAAACCCCCCCACTGGGAGAGGAGGTGTTCTGGTGTTGCCTGTTCACTGCCACCATGACAGTCCTCAGGGTGACATCACCCTGAGTCAGGAAGCACACCCCCGCCCCTTTGTCCGAGCGGCAGGCCCCGCTCTGGCCCGGCCCTGTGTGCAGTGGCCCAGGTGCAGCAGCTGCAGGTGATTACTTCACACCCAGCCCCTGTTGATGAATCTGCTGCCCCTCAGTGGTTTTTCTGAGCAATGAGGGGCTTTGGGGTTGGTAGGGGAGGAGATGTCCTGGTGAGCTGAGGGCCATGTGTGGTGTGTGAGTTCTTTTTTTTTTTTTTTTTTTTTACTAGATGTTTTT